ATCCTACTGTAAGTAGAGCCAGTTAGATTTTAAGATCTGTCTCTAATTCCAGTGAGTTTAGAAACGAAAAAGTAATTGGTATATAAATAAAACTCATGAGGTGAGCAGGGGGCAGAAAACCACCTTAAATGTCCCCAGGGGTCTGTTTCTAGGGCTTCCAATCATCAGACCTTTCATTTTCAAAGGAAGATAGAAGTCAGTGCTGCCGGCATTTCCACAAAGTATAGCAAAAATAACCTGTCTTGTGCTGTCACCGGCGCCGTGAAATCCAGGGTCACTTAGGAGGCTTCCGAGGATGCATGTGTCTACACCCCACAGAACCAGCCTGAGGAGGCTGGGGAGAGGCCTCCAGGTGGCCTTGGCTGGTGAAGCGGTGAGTGTGCGTGGTCGCCGCTGAGGACCAGTGTGGCTGCCACACCCTATTGATGATCCTGTACCTCCAGGGCACTTTTTGGGCCACCTGTCCTAGACATGGCTGCCAGCCAGGTCTGAGGCCAGGAGGAACCCTGGAGACAGTTGGCTTATGGGACCCAGGCTCTGGTTGGTCCTGTGTTGTGATGGACATTGTCATGTCCTGGGTCCTGGCTTGGGATCCTGGCCCTGCCTCTTACGGCCAGAAGAGCCTCGGAGTGCCACCCGCCCTGCCCAGCCTCGGGCTCCCAGCAGCAAGCAGGGGCAGTGGTGAGGCCTGCATCATGGGACCATGGTGCTGAGGACACGTGTGCCTCAGTGTAACTGCCACCCCGACGTGGCAAATAGTTGTCACTCTGTAATGCCTAGGGGATACAGGTCGCCTACCTGGAGCTGCTTGCTTAGAGACACACGGGGTAAATGTGGGTCCCACCTCCCTGATTCCATCAGCTGTCCATGGAAAATGCCCAGCCATCAGACAACTCAAAGCAGCATCTGTACTGGCCATAACTGATTGATTCATTCATCGTTCTCTGAGCAACACAGTTTCTGCTGGGCGTGGTGGCACACACCTGTGATCCCAGCACTTGCGAGGCTGAGGCAGGAGGATCAATGCGAGTTTGAGGCCAGCCTGGACTACATAGTGAGTGCAAGTCCAGCTTGAATTGCATAGCGAGTCCCTGTCTCACACACACACAAATAACAGTTCAACAGCTATTACCATTTATATTGCATTAGGTATTAAAAGCAATCTAGCAGTGATTTAAAGTATATAGAGAAAGAGTGTCAACTTTATGCATATTTGATGCCATTTTCTACAAGGGACTTGAGTATCCATGAGTCTTGGTATCAGCAGGGTTCCTGGCCCTGTGCGCCCCGTATGCCAAGGGACTAGCCTTGGTCAGCGAGCCTTCCTTGTCTCCCAGGGAGCACATGGGTCCCCCTTTGGACATGAGCAGCCCGCAGTCTCACCCGCAGGGGTTCACAGGGCCCATCTGCCGGGGAGCACATGTACTGTGGCCTCACACTGGCCTCCAGAGAAGCCCCAGGCTGGCACTGTAAAAATGTCAGGCTGTCTTTGGGGGTACATGGAGCCAGCCAGTAGCGTTTACTCTATAATCTGAGTCTGAGGAACACAAGGAGCCGCGCCTCTGCCTGGGTGTGTTTGGGGGTGATCCTACAGAATGCTGATTCCTGGGCCTCTGCCTCCAGACCCCTTCTGGTCAGCACATCTGAGAAGGCACCAGAGAGGTGAGGACCCTGGAGGGGGTGCCCTGGGGAGCTGCACTGAGGGGCCACATAGAGGCTCACAGACCGGCCAGTGCCTGCCAGGTCTGCGCATGACTTTGACCTTGGCCAAGTGGCTGAAGACCAGGGAGGCTGGGAGGGTGGTCATCTGCAGGGCGCGCGGCAGGTTGTTGGTGTTGCCACAACAAACACACGGGGCTCTTTGCGCCTGCGGCCTGGGGTGCCAGAGCTGGCTTCGCACTCAGCGCCCCGCGGAGCCCCGGCAGGGCTGTGGGCAGAGGACCCGAGGTGTAGGCCCCACACGGTCAGAGCTTTTCAGAGGTCTTGAATTAGAAAAATAAACTCATTAAATAATACCGTCCCCATAAAAGCTGGCTTTTAATGGACTCCACGGTGGCCAGCACACAGCCTCGGGCCTCGGTGAGCCTGTCTGCCGCCATGGGGAGAATTTAATCTTGCATGGCCTGGGCAGAATTTTACAAGTTTAATGGGTGTTTTTTCTCCTCCAAAGTGTTGCTAAGTCATTGTGTACCAAGGGCAACTTGCGTGCATGTAGCAGTTTATGTCCCTTTTGGTGGGAATGAAAAATGAAGAAATAAATTAAAGAAAAACACAGGGAATGAATA